ATTCTATCCTTCCGTATTACTCGTTTTCTACCACTTTTTGTCGCATACGCGTTTCAACAAAAAGGCTGAGAACGGCTTCAACAGTGTGCACACTCATACTGGCTGACACGCCCCACCGGTCCGCAATGATGAGGACTGTACTTATTAACTGATATTGAGTAGAATAAATAATGACTGAAATAGCAGCGATGTGTGAATTTGCGTTTTTCAAGATTTTTTTAAGAGACGTCCACGATTTTGTGTACGGTTATTTCTCCGATTATTCGGACAATTATGGCTATTAGCAGTCCGGCATTTTGGTGCATCTCACACTTATAAGAAGTTGTTATTTGAAGGGAAGGTCCGCAAAACAGTCCTCTCTATCTTTAAAGAGCATGGAGAACATATCTTAACACAAATAAACGTGATAAAATGATGGCGTCCGCTTTCCGATGGAACGTACGAGACACAAAACAATGCTGTTGCTGAAATCGTACCATTTCAGGGAAAAACTCTGTGTCAAACAATTCAGTATGTTATATTGTGCCTCACGAGTTTTTTAGGTGGAACTATTCTGTCCAATACTCAGCAATTCCTTGAAACATTACGGTCCTCCAACCTTGGAAGGAGCACTGTAATTGAGTCCTTCGACGTCGTTTCGCTTTACACCAATGTCCAAAACGAGCAAGCCTTACAAGCATTATCCGAAATGCTGGATAGGCATGCTAACAGTATTAACACATTTGGGCTTGGTAAAATGCATATAATGACGTTGGTCAAGGAATGCTTGAGTTGCAACATCTTCAAATGGGCAGGGACATACTACTCGCAAGTCAGAGGCTTAGCCATGGGTCAACGACTAGCACCAGTTCTTGCGGTATGCTTCATGGGTAGAATCGAAGAACCGGTACTAGAGCGTCATCCATTGATGTACTGTAGGTATATCGATGACTGCTTCATCATAACATCAACACAGTCCGAAATGGACGAGTGTTTTCGAATAATGAATGAACAGTCACAGTACATTAAGCTCACACGCGAGGTACCACGAGACGGTTGGCTTCCTTATCTCAACACACAGGTGAAGGTATCCGGAGGCATTGCTAGTGTGAAGTGGTACCGTAAAACAAGTTCGAAGAACATCCTACTTCACGCCATGTCAGCTCATCCACAATTCGTCAAACGTGCAGTTGTCAACAACATGCTGAGAACAGCAACGAGTATGTGCACAGGCGAAGCTGAACGTCAAGAATCACGACGTTTAGCATGTGAGATAGCTGCCAAGAACGGTTATACGGTACCACAGCGTCATGGAAGGCAGCGCACGAACACGCGAGAAAGTCCGCGCCAAAGCAAGTTGCCACTATGTCTTCCTTTCATCTCTGACAAGGTCACTGCTGCAATACAACGGAGCATTGCTAGAGCGCAGCTGCAAGATGCCGTTCAGTTAGTGAATATTCCTAACAACAACATCAAGCAGCAGCTAGTTCGAAACAGGCTCTACGACAAGCAGTGCATAGTGGAAGGGTGTGTCATTTGTCCGTACGGAAAAATCGGTGATTGCGCACAAACGAGCTTGATGTACCAGATTGAATG